GGCGATTTTTTAACGCCATGTTTAGTTGCAGTTAAAAAAAAAAAGTTGATTTAAGTAATATTAATCGTTATTCGCCTGTCAGTTGAATACGGGAAACTCATAACAGGTAATTTGAAGGTTTACTTACTTATAGGGTTTTCTTATCGGTGTTATTGTAATAGACGAGATGGCTAATGCGGAACAGGGAGCTTCATTTTGACTGTTTAATTACTACTGCAGATTTTTACCTTTGTTTTACAAACACAGCATGCTTTTGCGTACAGATTAATTTCGTTCTTTTTTTTGTATAAATATCGGATGTGTTTGATTCACATATCACAACTTTAAAAGCATCTATACAGATGTTTTCAAGGATTTAATATCAAACGATGTTTCAAGAATTCAGGTCTTTCTGCTTACAAGCTTTTCAATTTTTAGTCTTACCGTTCTTTGATTGTTCAAAAAATGCATTTTGGACATGTTCTCATTCATGTTTTTTATCCATTGGACTAAGAGGAACGCGTGGTGTTCTCAGTACGATAATGGTTGTTACTGAGGTAGGAAGGACTTAGCGTGAAATTATTAGGGAAATTTCATGCAGAATCCGAACGGTAAGGCACTGATTGCAAAAACTTTGAAATACGCATTAAGTCAGGCCGCCAGACTGGTCGCACAAAAGCTTATGAATTTGCGTAAAACACTGCTAGTTGGTAACTTGAGAGCCTGCATCAGGTAAAGGGCCTTCTTCATGGTCAGACTTCAGCAGAGGTTCCAGAAGTTGTAGAGGACAGCGTTGAAAAATGACTTCAAAAGCACTAAGATTTTCAAGCAAAAGTTCCAATATTTTAAGGGAGCGGAAACAAATGAAGTGGCTTCACGCACGTCTTGCTGTGGTTCAACTGGTCTGTCACCGATGCTGATAAGTTTGGTTGAGCTCATGCATTAAATGAAACTAAGCTTTAAACAAACATTCATCTTTTTGCCTTCTGCTACCTTTTACTTTGAAAGAGACCTGGAGCGCGTATCTAATCCTTTGCGTTAAAAACGTATGGTGCATGTACTGCATGATACGTAGGAGGGGCACATGTTTTGAAGGTGAATTTTTAATTGAATAAGAAAAAAGTGCCTAACCAGTTAACGTATGTCAGATTTTGCCTCCGCTACGCTACATGATTAAGTATCTGAATTTGCATCAGGTAAATTGGATAGTGATTCAAACACTGCGCTAACTAATTAAAGCAGTGTCTGGTGCAAGAACTGTAAGTTAAAATAGTGCTTGAAAGCACGACACTTTGCCTTAAAAAGTATTTTTTTAAAAGTATTTATTGGGAGGCTTTTAAACTTTTTTTTTTGAATGGACTTCCAAGTATTTCCCTCCTTTTTTTTTTCAGGTTAATTGGCTGTTGTTTTGCATGATGAGTGAAACCCCTTCTCAGGGTATGGAGCGGTGTAAATCTAAACGTGTGATTAAAGCAATAGTGTATGGGAATATTGCAAGTCCATTACCAAAGAAACGTGAGGAAGACAGTCATACACATCAGTGGACTGTTTTTGTTAAGCCTTACCACAATGAAGACCCTTCAAAGTTTATCAGAAAAGTTCAGTTCAAATTGCATGAGTCGTACGCAAACTCTGTGAGAAGTTTGTTTTAATAGTTATTTAATTAAACAACTTAAAGGCCATAGTTAAACATTTGGTTTGATTTAGTGGTAGAGAAGCCACCTTTTGAAGTCAGTGAGACTGGATGGGGCGAATTCGAAGTGCAAATGAAGATTTACTTTATCGACCCTGCTGAAAAACCGGTGTTTTTTAAATCTTATACCATTAGTTCTTCTTCTTCACCTTCGGAGTGGCGAAGTAATTCAGCCATTTGTGGTGTTATTTTACAACGCGGAAGCATTTTACAGATTGTTGCGTTCCACTACTTACGGTTATTTCAACCACAAGTTACTCTTGCAAACGGAAAAACGATCGTGGCTGCCGAGTATTACGACGAAATTATAAGTTCTTACATAATATCTTGTTACTGCAGTTGAATTATCTGCTTTTCCCAGCAAGAAATTGTTAGGAGTTTTAGTTTAATGAAGTTTTTCTGTTACAGGTTTTTCAAGAACCAACTGTAACGATGTACAAAGCTTTGATGAGCTCGGAAGCGCGTAAATGTGACATGAAACGGTTTCATACGGACTGTAAGAGTTCTTAAATGTTGGCTTCTTCTCCTCAAGTTTAGTTCTTTATTTACGACATTTTATCTTAAGTTGTGCAAGTACGGAAACGAACGAAAGAGATGGTGGAAGAGGCGAGGAAAAAAATTAATGGTGAGGTCGATGATTTAAAAGAATCACTGAAAGAGGCCCAAAAATTAATCGAGAAATATCGGAAGGAAGTGGATACACTCGAGAAAAACGCTGCAAATGTAGCTTCTTTTGACGCAATACCTTTTTCTGCTCATGATAGTGTTAGAAGTTGACTGTGAGATGCAGAACATAACTAACTTCGCGTTAAACTTTGCAAAAAGCTGTAAATTCTCAGAGGCGTTTAATAGTGTTTGTAAGTCCTTTTTTTGCTAAATTGCCTATTGGTATTCTTTTAAGTCCATTCGCATTGTGGTTATAGCCATTGGGGACCGATGGCATAGAGAGCTCTTAAAAACACTCCTGTTTTCTTTCCTCGTGTTCACTATAGTTATTGAGGAGCTGGGCGGGATTAAAGATTCACTCATTGATTTGTTCCATGGGGTTTTAGCTTTTCATTGGTGGGGTCGTCGATGTACCAAGGAAGTTTTGCGCTCTCTCCCCCAAAGCTGCACTTTATTGTTTTGAGGTACTCTTTGTTCCAGATCTTTATTTGTGAATCGTAAAAAATATGGGATTAAGTTGGTCAGCGCAGAAACATTTTTTTACATCCCATACAAGTCTCTTTGTACTCTGCTAAAGAAGGACCTCGGGTGAAACCTATCCATAAAGTTTTTATTGTACTTACACGAACTAATAATGAAGGGCGAGTTCGGTTTGTGGGCTGTTGAGGTGCTGCACAGTGCGTTCCAGCTCGTAAAAAATTTGTCCGGCTGTAGTTGATTCAAAAAGTGGTGATTTCGGAACTCGTTGCTTCAAATTGATTACACGAAATTCCTAGTGACTGTGTAGGTAGTCTGGGTCGTACGTCTCTCCGTCGGGATATAGAAGGGTTTCGTGAGAGTAGGCGTTGTCGAGCCAGGCTTCGCGCAGGTAATAATCGTACCTTAAATTGTAAGAAATGACATTAGGACGCTGACTGCCTAAGCGACCTGAAAATTTCGTAAAATTTTTTTGCTTCGCTTGACAAGTTTTGCCATCGAGTGATTTTCAACGTTGCTTGTATGGCGTCGAAACGACCACTCGTTAATTAGGATCTTCGTTATACCTACGTAACTTTTTTAAGTATGAGAAAACTTTTCAGGAAATGATTGACTAAGTCCTAGTAAGAAAACTGCCTAACCAAGGTTCCGGACGCGTGTGTCCAGTACGAAATGCCCAAAAGCCTTTCGGTGGGTCGCCGCGCTCTTTATTATATCCATAACCGTAACGACTTTTCAGCACCTCAAAACAGTTGGAAGCTCATGCGGATTTTATAAGATTTTCAATTTAAAGATGTGTTTGAGCTCCTGTTCAGTTCCACGTACTGGTTAAATTTAAAAGAGTTGTCACTAAAATAAAAATTCAAAGTTATAAGAAGTTCCACAACGGAAATAAACCTGAGTTATCATAACATTGATAAATTGTGCAGCGTCACGCGGGTTGATGTACAGTTCCCCTGCTTCATGAACGGGTATATTGTCAAAAGTAATGACTCTGGCAGCATATTTGTTAGTAACCCTACAACGACGTTCTAAACAATAGAGTTCGACATTACAGATTCCAAAATAGAAAAATGATAAACTAGCTCTTTGAAAAAAACCAAAAGATGCAGAAGACCTTCGGTTGTAATGTTTCCTGATTTTTAACTGAACAGAAGGGGGAAAAAAGAAAAGTATCTGCAATTTAACAAACTTAATCCTTCTTTCTGTCCAAGCCATCTCATCTTGCGGCGTATGCCAAGTTTCAAAGACGTCACCGCTGTGCCATTCAAAGAAGTCAAAATCAATGGCTTCGATATCTTCAATAACCGTGTCAACATCTCCCGGCTTAGACCAATCGTAAACAAGAATTTTTGACTGCCTCCTTGAAACGATTAAAACTTTTTTTTTTTTTGAAAAAAATTTACGGAAGTCTGTAGCACGCAGTTATTACATATCTCGAAGCTTTCAAGCAGAAGGGTTTGCTAAGCTTCTTAACTATTTCAAAAAGCAGTAATCGTTCCCTTATAATAATTCCTTTATTAAAGCTGGTGAATTGAAGAAATGAGCAATCTAAGTTTCTTGACTAGTTTCAACATATAGCGACAAGCTATTTGACTAACTCCTCATACGTTAAAACCTTACTTGGCCTCCGTAAGCACATCCTTGTATGACTCAGCAATTGTCTGCAGGTATGTTTCATCAATTGTATTAGCTTTATTAACCTGCAAGAAAACCGTTGTTTCCTTTTTAAATGGCAAGAGACTACAATAAACAATAAATCTGAAAAAGGATTACAAAAAGAATACCAACATTTCCTTCTTTCCTGACGTTTTCTAAGCAGACGCTTACTGGTGTATCTAGATAGATTACAAGATGAGGCCAAAAGAATAACTGAGGCAGAGCTCTTTTTCTTATATAGTAATAACGCTTGAAATCTGAAATAGAATATTATTAAAATTCATCATACTTAATAAAATGGAAAGCTAGAAAAGTATTTGAATCATACATTCAGGTCCAATATAGTTTTTCGCCCGCATCGCATTAGCATAAACGAGGTCACTGTAAATACAATTTTCCAACACAACTCCTTGGCCTTAAAAAGTACCTGTTACTACTGCGAAAAAATGGTAGCAATGGACCGCAAAAAATACTCGTCAATTAATTTATGCATAATGAAGTTTTTATGACAACCTTCTCGAATCTGAACCAAATCAGACAATCATAATATTTAAACTATTTAATTTTGACAGATGATAATGGTTTAAAAGAAGAATGCTAATGCTGGTGCCCATCATTACAGTAAACTATTACCTGTATTCAAGATGTGTGCCACAGCATTCAATAGTTCATCAAATCGACATTTGAAAATGAAATCGCGCATTACAGCTGTCATATCTGACATTGGATCCTTGTAGAACATCTCATCATCAAAAAATCGAAATCTTTTAGGGAACTAAATGTATGAACACTTTTGGAAATGTACGTTAAGAATAAAAATTTTGTGATAAATCTCAAGTAGCACCTAGTGGTCATGAGAAGAAAAATAAGTGATTAACAAAAAACGTATGAAAACATGTCACCAAAGTACTGAAGAACCTATTAGGCATACCAGATGGTAGAAATCACGCAAATCTTGGCCGTATCTGTCAATAAGTAATTTTTCCATTTTAAATTCGGGAATATAATAGAAACCAAGTCGATCAGCGAGCTCCTTGGCAAATGAGGACTATAAGTGAAATACCCAGGTCTTTAAAAACTAAGAAAAGGCAAACACCTTTGACTTCTCAGAACCGGACTTTATACAGCATTGTTAAGAAGCTAAAGCCTTCAGCAGATGTTAAATTTTTACGTGGAACCTTTAATATCCAGTAAATAAAGTAATGTAAAAAGGAAAACTAACCTTTTCGCACCCAATATTCCCCTCAACGGTGATAAGTTTTGAATTCGTATTAAAACGCTTTTGCGTTCGATCATATATTGCGTGGAACCAAGAATACCTATACAAATATAAAGTAACCAGGAAAAAACGTGTATTTAGAAATTGCGAAAAGAGACTGCTGACCACGTTTTTTGGGATGAGTAACTTTTTTCTTAGAACTATTACCAAGTGTGCGGATCAAACTCAAGTATGGCTAAAACACTCTTTTGTTATAACTGCCGAAACGGCATATACGGTTACGAAAAAAAAAAAAA